CCCATTAGTAGTCTTTGCTCCATAGATACATTAAGTTGCTAATTCTGGATTTATTTGTGCCAGGCAAAACGTTCTCGTCCTAAGAGGAGCTTAGCCTCTCGTCTGAGCGGCTACATTCCTCCTAAAACACAGCCAGGAAAGGATGCGGTTGTGACAGAAAGCAAGACAATGGGTAAGCCCATGGAAAATGAAATGCCAACTGTTGAAATTCTGACTCTGCAGTAGAGGTTAACTGAGACAACTTTCTTCATGGAATGACCACTGCAAAACTCAGCAATAACTTTATTTTTTATTAAATAAGAAATTAATATTGTTTATACCTCTTCATAAAGTCACTGATGCAACTCACTTGACTTCAGATCTTCATTTTCATCATTCTTTACTGTACTGTTTTTCTGTTTTTCCATCTTCTGGTATGCTTTCAACTCTTTGTCAGACATGTGTCTCAAAATACAGGTACTCACTCCTTCTCTAGTAACTTTTGGCTTGGAAAGATAAGTGGCTTTCTCAGACACAGTCTCTAAAATCTGATCAAAAAGCGTGAGCTGAAAAGAAGGAGAAGAATAGGGAGTAAATGCACAAACACAGGTAGAAAAATATTTCAGGCTGTTCTGTAATGACAACAATCTCCTGCTTCTGGTTTATCTATTAGCTGAAATGAGCTAGTCGCTAGTCCTGGTTTGAGCAGTTCAGTTTGTCCTTTCCTAACCACTTGTTCTTTACTCATAAGCGGGTTTCGGAAAGTCACCAGAGGGATTAAGCCATTTCCTAACACTTACATTGACTTTCTGACTCGTCCTACTTTGCTGTTTAAAGGTGTCCATGAAAGTGATTAACAACTGCATCCGACTCCTCCCCACCCTCCTCTTCCACTAGATTCGGGCATGTTATTATGGGGCTCCCCTCTTAAGAGGCAGCAGTATTCTAAGTTTACCAGAAAGTGGTAGTATTGAACTGAATCATACAGTGCATTCATATAACAAGCTGAACTCTGAAACTCATAATTAAGCTTTTACATTTAAGGATAACCCAAATCTGGACTGTGTCATGAAATGTTCTGCTCCCTCCCATATCTAGTTCTTCTTCCTGCTACCCTTTCCCTGTGAATTCAACTTCCTATAAAAAGTTTTTTTCCTTTTGGATGAAGCGATATCACTTTTTTCCCCAGCAATTTATTAGAGACAATCATCAAGGAAACCCAATTCACTACACACATTTAAAAGGAAAAAAAAAATCTTACAGGGAATCTTTATAAAAAAGCCATTTGTGCAAATGACAATGAAGACAAGTCTCAGTGCCCTAGAATTATATTAGTAAGTTGCCACCAGCTCCCTAAAATCTTTGTAGATGTTTACTTTGCCAGTCTTGGAACATCATTCCAGTAGCTTTCTACACAGCAGTGGAAAACTAACCTTGGCCACAGTTACACAAATGGATCTTCAGAAGAACAGTTTAGGTTATTGAAATAATCCAGCTACAACACAGCAGGCATTTTTTAAACCTTACTGTTAAAACTTTTCAGTGAGTGAGCTGGCTTAAGGCATAGACAGGAAAATTTCACCGGCCCAGTTAATAAGGTGGTGCTGCAAAGGAGTAGGAGTAGGCTTAGACTCTGCTGTCAAAGCCAGTATTATAATTGCCTTCTTAAGAAAACACAGTATTTGAATTGTCTCTGTGGGACTATTTTTCTAGAACTGCAGTGTTTGAACAGGTGCAGCTTAAGGTGGGGCAACCGTTACTTTCATGGGACGTAGACCTTCGCTTATTTTGTCAGTGCATGATATATTAAAAAAAATGGTAGTACTGAATAGGAGAAGTTAATACCAAGTACACCTATTTCATGAAATTGATTGTTCCAGTTTTCAGGAGAGCACTTACCATGTCTGTATTGCTATCTTTTGGTTGCCGGATGGTAACTTTAACACGGTATTTCTTTTCAATCCACTGTGCTATCTGTTTAGTCTTGGTCTCTAAGTCGTTCTTGGCAATAGCTGAAGAAAAGGATAACTCCTTCTGAACCATCCCTGTTTAAAACAGAACTAAAACTGTGTTGGCTTAATGTCTGACAAACCTGTATTAATTGCTGTCTTTCAACAGCCTGTGGTGCTTTGTCTGCCTAACTCCCTTCCCCACACACAGAGCATCTTGATGTCATTGTCACACCATACACCTTAGAAAGTGGCTACTTGGTATCTCACACTCAGTGCTGAAACTGGGAGACTGAGTGCGTGTTTGAGGCACACAGGGAAGTCTCTTCACGGTCAGAAGGCTTAAAATATTTTTATTTTAATTACAATTCTGTTCATACCACCCACAATGCAGGTCTAACAAAGATAGGCAGGACAGCATTGGAATTAAAGACTTAGTGTGCCAATTCCTACATTCTGCACATAATATAGGTGAATGTAAAAAAACCCCAACAAACACAAAACTTTGAAGTTAGACATCTCTTTATCTTGAGCCCATTTTCTTGAATGGTGAAGTGCAATATTCAACTGGAAGTATGATGCCTTGTAATATTTGAACAATTTATGGTCTCTTCCTCCTTAAAGATTCTCTAAAGTAGTTACTATTTAAATAATCTTTTTGTAGTTCCTTGAACAGAAAAACTCATTACCACAATAGTGCTCTCCTCTAAGATCAGAACTCTACCCAAAGCACAGATACCTTCATTAGCCTGAGGGTAAGAAAAGAGGATACAAGGTCACACGCCTTTTCCAAAACCTCTTTGCCAAACAGTTTTTTAAGCTGCTGGAGCAGGTTGATGTAAAAAAAAAAAAAAAAAAAAAAAAATTGAAAAGTGTTCCATATTGAAAAAGTTGTTCTCTTACTCTGTGCAAGAAAGGGATCCAGACTTTGTCTTCCAAGCAGCAAGCTAGAAATGACTACTGGTGACAAAATAATATTGGTGTTTCTGGTGCTCTGTTTGTCAAAACTGCCTGTCTTTTTATGCCTTAGTAAAAGAAATTCAGTGAGTCTCATGGAAGCCGAGTCTAGTTCTATTCACTTACATAAAAATAGATTTTTTTTTAAAAAAGCAAACAGATGCCAAAATAGTAAATCCTGAGAAGGCAATAGAAGGCTTCTCTGTGGAGGACTAAACTAATCCAAAATTTTATTTTCACCACTGCAAATCCTTAATAGCATGGACTGCAGTGACATTGCCTTGAATTTACACAAATGCAAGTAAGAGGATTTCATCTGCTGAAACCACTTTTAATGCAGCATTTTTCAGAGTGCTCAGTGTTGTAGTGTCGACAACGTACATACCTGGGTTTGGACTTGTTTTTTTCTTCTCTGCACGTTTAAGCTGTTCTTCATGAATCTGCTGCCCAGTCATTAGTCTGTATACAGGGGGTTCTGCGTTCTCGCGAAGGAGAACTAGTTTCAGGTCGTGTTGATCCATAAGTTTGAGTGCCTCTGCTCGGTGCATGTTTCCTAAGCTCTCTCCATCCTGGTTAATTACATGCAAAATCCGATAGGGAATTCTTCGCCCAACACTTCCAAATGCTGCTTTTCTTTTTGGTTCTGTGTGAGATTTTTCAGCTGTACAAAATGGTTGAGCAAGTCCAAACACAGTTGACTTTCTAGGGTCAGGTAGCACCATCCAGAACGGAGAAAAGACCCTCTTTTGTGGTGTTTGTGTCAGAAGAGTACCAAAGAATTTTGTTGCGTATCTATTCTCATTGCTGGTTGCTTGACATAAAAGTTTCATCATGCAAAAGGTAGTCATTCTGAGGAAGCAGGGAAGAAGAAAAAACAAGTTACTCCCATCAGTCAGATTTTTCTAGTTCTATTAGAAAGACCTGAGGTCCAGTTCAGCACACTCGTCTTTAAAACTACTCTTTCAAAAAGATGCATGGTGTTACTACACAGAATGAACAATCAATAGTAATTTTACAGTAACAGAGGGCTTTAACCCAGAGAGGCAATCTGACAAAGGAACAACATTTATGAAGAGTTGATCTTATCTTCAGTATTTTAAAATCTGAGCCTGAACTCCCTTAAAGAATCCAAAACTTCTAGTTCATTTCTCCTCACAAGAGTATCTACTCTTACATAGCTTTTTTGTGTATAGAGAGATTAGCCAACGGTTAAGAGGGAGAATTTGTTGTCAAACAAAAAGGCATGTCACACAATATTTTCAGTCCAGATTTTTTTCATGAAGTATCTTACACTAGGACTTCCTACCTGGTTCTCCTACTCTTCTTTGGAAAGTGTTTCATTTAAGCCACACGAATTCAGAACCACCCTAATCACATAGTGAATGAAGTGGTGATTTGTGCGACGTCCATCAGCAGCCATCCCAACATCTACAGCCTGAGTCTTGTATGTTTTGTAAGGTTTGGGAATTTAAAAACCTTGATCACACAGAGTAAGACTGCCATGCAAAATCGGTGTTCACCTTGGCATTAAAACATGACAAAGTGACCAGTACTGTACTTGAAGATATGGTTTATCCCAGGGTTGAAAACTCTTCCATAGCTAGTGTGCAACTTGCAAGATTCTTACACCACTGACCCCAAATTGTGTATTTTACTCAGTTTTCCAAATGTAATTTTGTGGAAGTAATCCACCTAGTTACTTGGTCTTAGATGGATTAAGCACTAATATTTCAGTAACTTTAAAAAAAAAAAAAAGTCTTCACTGACTTTTGAGCTCAAGTTGCACAGATTCAGCCATGCTTCAAAGTGAAAACAGTGCCTTAATTTTAAACGTATTTTACCAGGCATTTAAAGTATCAATTGACTTTCCCAGATTTTCACAAACATGAAATTTAGGGTGGCACATTCCTATTCATACGAAGCTAATTTTTTTCCAGTTATCAAAACAATTTAGATTTCTTCCCTACAGAAAGCATGCACCTAAGTAACTTTAATTGTTTGGAAAGTGCAATTTAGTGTAGACATTTCACCCCAACCATCTACTAGAAACACCAATAATGACATTTTTCTTCTTCTTGAATGATGAAAAAAGCTTGCGGAATAAAAAGAGTAAAACAGAGACAGAGTTAAGACTTGCTTGCAATACATGGACTGGAAAATAAGCAATACCTTCACATGCCTAAGATCCCCACTTGCAAATTAAAATGTAAACAAATTGTTACAGACATCTACCGTGGCATGGTATAGACTTTCAAAACAAGCCTTAAAATACACCAGTGCTTGAAATCTGAAGACTAGCGAAACTGATCTTGGAGACATTCCCTCAATTATTTTTTCCCCATTCTTCCCTGGTTCATGGAATCCCCCTGGCAGTTTTGGTGCACCTGACCATTATTTGCGTTTCGTTAAAAACTTCAGAAATTGGCCACTTTTTAACAGCTGCAAAAAAA